GCTTAGGGCTTAGGATGAGGATCCCCCCTAATGATGCAAAGTGAGGACTATAGTCTTCGCGTGTGCTCTTGGGCCCTTGATGTTCAAAGGTGTCTGGGGCCTGTAAGGCCTGCCTAGACTGGTTGATATGAACCCTGCAAATGACGGTTTGTCGAGTTGTTTGGCAGACCACGGAATCACCTTTCAGAAAGTGCGAAATCCGGACCTAAATCCTGTTGTGTGGTGCAGGATTCATGATACCTTCCAAGATTAGAACGCGAACGCTCAGTTGCTTGCCTCTGCAGCCTCCTCCCAGATTTCGGCTCTTCCGTTCCCTTCGTTTGTAGAGAGTGCTTTTCCTAATGATTGAATATTTAATTAAGTTCTAATGTCTGATTTGCGGGGGCGGTCATTCGAGTAATCACCTTCATACACATGCCTGAACCAACCATTGGAATAGGGTTTGGGGGGATGTATAGTGCAGCTGTGAAAAGGAAGCCTAAGGGACAGCATTGTTAATTACCCAGCCTTCTGTAAAAGACCTGGAAGTCCAAGCCCTAACCCTGAACCTTCGCTGCAAACCCTCAATAACCTCGAATGCCTCCGAACCTTCAACCCTAAACCGCCAAACCCTCGACTCCTAAATCCTAAACCCGTGACCCCAAAACCCCGAATAAGCCGGGTAGGCTTTCTTTAGCAGTAACCCTGTACGTCAACGGGCTCGTTAAACATGCCTGTTAGTGTTATGACGCAACGTGCTCGTTTCACCCGATGCATAAAAAACCCTCTTGGGGGCTGAGATTGGCAATATGTCGTTTTCAACGATTCTAGTGTGAGGTTTCTGGAATTTACAAGTGGGTTTCTGCCGTTTTCAAGGAATCTAGTGTGAGATTTCTGGGATTACCAATTGGGTTTCATGGTTTTAATACCAGGAACAGGTCTTGATTATAATGGTTCCAATATGCAAAAAACCTGAATCCCAGACCCATAATTCCCTGAAAGATCCTGATCCCAGTGCTCCGAGATGCCGAGATTCGCAGCTTCAGACGCTCCGAAGCAGGGAAGATGATCAGATGCAAACGATAATTTGGAGGATTTCAACTTGCAAGGTCTAGGACCCAAGCTCGGAAACTCCTGAAATCGAAGGCCTTTTAGTTAGTTCCGGTCCCTGTTATAGAGACTTTTAAGCCGCAGAATTGGGGTTATAAGTCCTCTCATATGGGATTCTAATACCTACATACATATATTATAATTATAATATATATATGTATGTAGAAAATCCCATATGAGAGGACTTATAACCCCAATTCATTAATTATCCTAGAACTACCCATGAACCTCCAGGTCACCCCGGAAGCCGAGACACGCGACCCTAAAACGTGAACCCTAACTCGTACCCTAAACCTCAAACGATAGCACCGTCATATAGGGGTCTGACATTTTAAGGGGAGTTCTAGAGTGGTGTACGTAATGTAGTCGACAGCTGCCATGCTCCTTGCCGGCATGTGATATATCCCTGATTTATGCAAATATCGCCGGGCCGAAGCTCAGCTGCAAGTGGAGTTTAGAAAGAGGGGTGTGGCACTATGCGTGATGCTAGGCTCCATTCTGTCTACATGTTTCCCGAGGAAGCTTGGGTATAATTATCCATGGATGTGGTGTATGATCCTGGGATCTTCCGTGGGCCGAATCTGAGCAGCAATTGCGACTGGATAAATTTTAAAGGTGCCCTGATAAATATATTATTACAACCCATGTTGTTACCCATTTGCTTGCCCAGGGCCGTGGTGGTCCTATGAAACGAGCTTTGGCACGCCGAAGCTCGGTGGCAGCTGCATGTGCAGGGGAAGGGGCCGTATTATGTGGTCTGTTCGAATTTGTGAGAGTGCTAAGGACATGAGGAAAGAATATCAGATGCCTGGGTGGATGATCTTTTATCAGGTGGTTCTGGCGTGGTTAGATGCATGCAGCAGTCTTCGAATCTTTTGGTCTGCACTTGCGCTTGCATATGTGCTGCAATCTGGGTCAGGCAGCGTCGGTACCTTGCATGTCGCAACAGATCTAATACAGAGGTCAGTGGAAGTCTCGAAGCAAAATTAATAATCACATTCTGGGGCTTGAAGGTTCCAATGCCCTAATAATATGTATCCTGGGGCAAGTTTTGAAGTGCAGGGTCAGCCTAGCTAGATCGTGGCATGGGCGCCACAAAGCCGAACCCTCGAACGGTGCTCTTCCTGAAGGCCTGCTTGCATTAATTTTATTCCTGTTTCTCTCACACATGATCTCTCTGATTATCTCTCTTCTCTTTCTCACTGCATGCTGCGCACATGTCTTCCTATAATATTCTCACCGGGCAGGAACTCTACAAGAGCTTCCTGTCCGATGAAGACTTTGTGACGAAGCGGTTTGAGGCCATCTGCAGAGAGCAGAGCGTCGGGCCCAAGAAACTCGCTCGATGTCTGAAGCGTGGTGTTGCTGCTCTGCTTAAAATCATATGTGTACATGTAGGATTGTTGTTCTTTGTATATATATTAGGTGCTAGCTATAGCTGTCTTCCCAAAATTAAGGTGCCCGTGACGTTTAGCTTGGTTGACGTCAAAGGCCGCAGCATCACAGAGCATGATGCCACATGGCTGATTTATGCGGATCATAATCAGGGTGGCCGTTGGAACAATATATATGCATTTGTGCTTAGCTCAGGTGCAGGAGAATACCACCAACTACGAGTTTCTTTCCAACTACTTGGGCTTATTCCCGGTGATCCCGACCCAGAAGGAATCTCAGGCCATTCACGAATCAGTGGAGTGATGATCTATCATGGAATTATGCACTGCATGCAGGAAGCACTTTGCAGTGTGGCAGTGGACCATGGCATCGTTTCGAAGAACATTACGAAAGGGCAGCTCAAGGACTGGATATCCTTAAAAAAGAAACCCTAAAAAAGGCACCTAAACCAAAACCCCATAGGAACATTTGCAATGGTCCCTGAAGCACTGACTCAAACCCCCAACTCCTAAACCCCATATCCCTGGAGTATCCCTTAGGGAATCGAAACGTTCACCCCAAACCCCAGGCCCATATCCCTGGAGTATCCCTATAATTACGGAACCCTTCACCCAAAACCCCAGGAGCCCTGATAATAAAGCCTAGGCCAGGACCCCTAAACCAAATCTTCAACCCCAATCAGCTGTGAAGCACCACTCGAGCTCGCAGGATTGGGCGTCGATCGAAGGCGGCCTGCACCGGGCACTCGGGGCTTATGTGCACCGGCGGCTCGGAGCCAACTCCGGGGCAAGGCCGGGTTCAAGTTTGTAGCCTACATACAAAATAACCCTGTGTTGTCTGCTAGGGGTGGCCACGATCGTATGGCGCTTTTGAAACGAATCGTCAAGACGGTCCGAGGAATGGATCCAGAGGCTAGGAGTACTTCAATTCTTCATTCCAATATATGTTTCTTTCGTTGTGATCCTCAGGCTGATGGCAAGAAACTGCCGTATGGAATGGACACTGACGAAACGCAAGTGTTGGCAGGACTGTACGTGTAATCCCTGCAATCTATATTCTGCTTTAATTAAACTGTCTGCAGGAGCAGAAGATTCAGACGACGATGTGATTATTGTCGAGCCCCACAAGTGCATCCCTTGCATCCCAAGTGACATGGAGGATCTAATAACTGTGCAATTGAAATCAATAAATAATGGCTGGGCTTCTGCTGGAGATTTGTGCCGCAGGACGAACAAGGAAGTCTTGCAGATGAGACTCAATCTGAGCTGCGTGGACCAGTCGCGACCACAGCCTTTGCCATACGCAGGGTATGATCTTCTGAGTGGGGGTCGAAAATACAATAATTAAGGAGAATGAGACTTCGAATGCGGCCCCGGTGCTTCGCAAGGTATCTCTTCTGATTCTATGCTAGTGATGCAAGTTATGATCGAGAAATCTGTGGCAGGCTGCTCCGATTCGCAGCTCTCAGTTTTCGAGCTCTGAGTTTCTGGAAGAAGGAGATGTTGCCAGGCTGATATTAAATTCTTGTAGACATATATATAGATTCTAGACCTAGACCAAATCATCTACTTGAGGTTCCACGGCCATCGAGATCCCCAACACCGTCCCCACCAAGATCTTCGACGAAGAACAAAAGGAGGAAAGAGCACATGTCCTTGTCTGCTTCGAAGGCAAGCCAGCAGCGCCATTACGTGATAATAATAACATTATAATGTGTTTCGGTGGCCTTCAAACATGTCTGATTGCATAGGTCACTGTGGATTCGAGCTCACCGGCAATGTCGAAGAAGAATAAGCAAAAGAGTGAGGAAACACAGGAGGTGCAGGATTCTACTATGACTCTAATAATAATTAACAAAGAATATATATTGTGTTCCTTATCATAATGCTCGTTTCGCAGGTGCCTGGTCCAAGCAGCCCCACCGACAAGCTGAACTTTGGTGTGGACAAGGCAGCAAAATAAATTAATTGGAGAAATTTCTAGTTGTAACTGCCCTTGCTGAGGTCATGTTGCCAGGGCAGACGCCAGACAGGTGTCCCAAGCTCGAGGCTGCTTGCATGGATCATCATAACCAAACAATGCACATTTGTGATTTTCCATGTACTGGCAGGAGTTGGCTCTTTCCCCCGTAGCAGCAAAGACGGCCTCAACGAAGAAGATGAAGAACCAAAAGACTGAGGAAACACAGGAGTCCCCCGTAGCAGCAAAGACGGGCTCAACAAAGAAGAAGAAGAAGCAAAAGACTGAGGAAACACAGGAGTCCCCGGTAGCAGCAAAGACGGCCTCAACCGAGAAGAAGAAGAAGCAAAAGACTGAGGAAACACAGGAGGCCAGAAGCACAATTGCAAGTAGTCTGTTTACATGCCGGGGTTCCCATGATTGTATAACTTGCAGGTGCCACCTGCTATCGCAACAGCAACAAGCTCGTGGGATGACAGTAGCAAGGACCGCATGCATGTTCCCGTATACTCGTGTATACATGTATAGAGTTTCAAGCCTTATTAATGTGTGGACAGGATGCCCAGCCGCGGATGGAATTCCCAGATAGCCAGCCGATCTTTGATCCGTGGCCGGTGGTGGTAGAGGATGACAGTGTTCCCGATGGCAAATACGAGGTGCCTCTTTAGGCATTCTGATTGCTGATCTATTATAACCTAAAATATATATGGCAGGACGCTGGCGCTAGCACCCCGACCAAAGCGGCAGACAGGGAGCTGCCGATGGAAGCAGCAGCAGATGAGGATGATGCTTTTGAGGAGAACTACAAGGTGCATCTTTGTGAGCGCGAGAGACAGACAGAGAGAGACAGAGAGAGAAATAGAGAGAGAAATAGATTATACCAAATCATGTACAAGCTAATCAACCTGTTTGTCAGGACGATGGCAGGGTGCCGCTGACTTCGATACCGTGGCCAATCTGGCAGACGTTAGATCAAAGGCTGGCTGAAGCCGACAAACTGGTCGAGGAGCTGGAGAAGAAGACAGGGCCCTTAAGTGACAACGTCTTGCAGGTGGGTTGTACTGCTAAATCGTTCAATGTTTCTACTCTCTCTCTCTATATATATATATATATTATGCAATTCGAGGAGCAAAGAAAGCTTCGAAAAACCATACGTGAAGGCCCAGCAGAAGATGAAGCTGATGAGGACCGGGGCCCCGAATCCAAAGGCAAGCCCAAAGCTAAAGCGAAAGGAAAGGCAAAGGCAAAAAGCAAAGCAAAAGCAAAAGCAAAAGCAAAAGCAAAAGCAAAAGCAGAAGCAACAGCAGAGACCAACGCCGTGTTGGAAGATGACAGGGAAGCAGATGAGGTGTTGAGTGAGGCTTTGGAGCTAGAGAAAGAAGAAGAGCAGGTGAAGAATGATGTTCGTGAAGAAGCCGATGAAGATCAAAAGAAGAAGGCTAAGAAGGGCAAAGGAAAGAAAAAGAAAGGTAGAAAGAGCAAAGAATGTCATGATGAAGCAGAGTGTGAGGCAAAAGGCGAAGGAGAGCATGCTGCAGGAGGGTTTGAGGAAAAAGCCGAAGGAAAGGATGATGCAGCAGGGTTTGAGGAAGAAGCCCAAGGAAAGGATGATGCAGCAGGATGTGGGGGTGGTGCAGATCATGCCAAACGCCAGAAAGGTGTAAAGCGCCGCCTCGAGTTCGAGCACTGCAGCGAAGAGCCGTGGCCACAAGTGGAGGCCATTTGCAAATAATAATGGCTACCGGGATACGTATGTATGGTATTCATGATCATAATATGATCTGTATATATAATTTAAATAAATAAATAAATATATATATATATATACAATATATTGTATCTATATATTAATTATATGTACGTATATATACCACAAGTACGTGTATCTATGTGTTTTAAGAATTATAATAACTTATTCCCTAAACCCCAAAGCCCCAAAATTAAGTTCCGTCCAGGAGCAGCCGGCTTCCAGCTGCACGTGGGACGCAATGGATGCAGATGGCGAGCCACCTGCTGGTGTGGTTGTGAAGAAAAAAAGAAAGATGAAAAAGAAGGGTGGCAGGAAGTCCAAAAAAGTTGTGGGAAGCACCCCACCGAGAAAGAATGACAATGAGGCAGAAGATGAGCCCCAGCAGGACTGAAGAACCTGAACCCCTACTGTAATTGAAACCTCCCATAAACTCGAATTGCAAGAAGATCTAATTATAAATCGCTAGAATAGCTTGTCTTCTACAGGAGCCGGCTGGATCCCCTGTTGGGCTGCTGCGACCTCACAAGTCGACTGGATGGACCCCTCGGCTAGCCAAGTGTAAGAGAAAGTCCAAGCCAAAGTACGACGCCGACAACCCCATGCCCAAGTCAAGACAACAGATTGAGGCAGGGACCGCTACGCATGTGTACATGTTCTTATATAGATTCCTGTTGAACACAATCCTGCAAAACTTACGCATTATCACTGTGACAAGGCGAAGAAAGACTCGGTTCTCCACGACCTCCGACAGCTGCGGTTGTTGGACAACAGTATGCTGCTGCCGACTGACTTTTCGGACATTGCGTGGCTTGCCATTAATCATCTTTACTTAAAGGCTCATGGGACTTAGTAAGTAAGGTTATAAGTAGGTTATAATTAGGATAACCCCACTTAGGGGACTTATATATAACCCCAGTTATAACCTACATTACTAAGTCCCATGATCCTCTAAGTAAGTTGGGCTTCTGCTTCGGGTCGTGTTTCCTGTGTATTACAAATGTGGTTTGTATCCAAGGTCCTTTACGCTGAATCCCTCCCCGAAGGTGCAGGAGGAGAACAAGGATGGTGGTGCACGCTCCATCCAAACTTTGCAGTTGGGATGCACACTACGTACATTGTCACTACATGAGATCATAGATACATGTTTCCTACAAGTTTACAATGATGTTCAGCCAAGGCTCCAAGGTGGCTTTTATGTGAGCAAAGTTCCACCTGAACGTCTCCGAGCCATCAACAAATACACCTCCGATGCCAACCTCAAGGCCTGCTGCCTTTGTGACCATGGGGTTTTCTATTAGACAACATAAATAGGGGTTTTGAGGGGATCGGACACAGACTCAGGCCCTGAACCATCATCCGAAAATACCCCAATGATAAGCCCAAAGAAACAACAGATTTTTTTGCATCCCAGCGCCGGTGGTATATAGTCTGATATATCGACTAGCATACATTCAATGTCAGACTGCCTCGGGATATCGAGCCGGTCGATTGCGAGCTGGACCAGCAGAATAAGGACGGTTCATCACGAGCTCATACAAGCGGCGACACATCCGCACCAACATTCGGCCAACGAAATCACAGGCTCTGTAAGACACGACGATGCAAGGCGGCGGCATTGCTCTCTCCAGTTGTTGTACACGTTGTTCGAGATCGTGCACATGCCTAGATATAAGTGACCATGTGCTCGTGCTGGAACCCGCACCGTCCATACCATCACTGGAGCTTCCATCAGCAAGTGCAATTTCGAAATCCATGGCGGCCAGATGTGCCGAGGAATCCTACGTGTATTACTAATTTACTAATTATACCCGTACATATGAAAGTCGTGCTTCCTCCATACTTTCCAATCTAGAATCGAATTCTTATAAGATGTATTTGGATTGTTGCAGGCGAACAAGAACGAGGGTGTGAGCCTGGCTTGGAAGAAGGGCGATTTGGGGGATCTTCAACGAGTGTGCCCCGGCTGCTCTTCGAAGTCAGATCCATGCACTTATGAGATCCCCGATCAGATCCTGATATCCCGATTTCCAGGTACAGACTTGCGAAAAAAGTGGCTGGGTGGCTGAAGCCATACTGGCCTCTTCCGGCGCCCAAGACGTAGGCCACAGGACAGCAGCTACCACCCAGGTTCACAGCTACCTTGCAAAGCTGCTGTTGGTGTACAGCAGGGATTGAGCAGGCTACCATAGAGGGAGTAATAAGGTTTGCCTAGACCTATATATATACACATATATATATATATATATACACTGGTATGCGCTTAGGGTGTAAGTTGAGAACACTTGTGCCGCCTGTACACCCAATTCGGACTGGGACAGTCTTGTTGACTTTCAACGAGAGATGCAAAAAAATGAGATATCGTCTCGCACATGCATGTCTTGGTATGGGGCGAGGAATGAGTTTCAGCAGGTATACCTACTACGTATAGTGGAACCGTATGCCAGGTCTGCTCCGGCTTGTGATTGGAGATCGCTAGCTATGGGGTTAGACGAAATAGGAATTCCAAGCCAGCATAGTAACCAAGTCCCCCAACCCTATAATTATCCTATTAGTTATTTTAATGTCTCTATATATATATATATATAGAATATATATATAAAGATAGTTTCCATATAATAACGTACACCCTCACCCTGGACACCCTAAATAGATCCCACCAACAAAACCTGGCCGGATTTAAATCCATGGATCGCTTTCCGCAAAGCAGCCCATTGTCACTGTCGTCATCAGCGGCAGCACTCCTGGTCATGATGGGGGCTCACTCAGCATTGTAGCTCATCTGGACATATTCATGTCCCAATATTGCAATGCAACTACAATTCAAAAGCCCGAGACCTGCTAGAGCTACACAAGGATCCAAGTGGCGGACTACGTGGCCCAGAATTCTCCGCCAAACATGAGCTTTCGGGTCACGGCCTCGTGTTATAGTACATACGCTATATAATAAGCTAGTCTGCGACCCAGGACCTTATGCACTACGACATGTTTGCCGGGGCACGAAACATGCAAAGAGCATACTGTGCCTTGTTTGCAGCAGATCCTGTGTATGGCCGTCTTGCATTCTACGTGTTCATTCATGTTTGCGCATGCACTCAGGTCGGGACGGCATGAGGAGGCCTCTCATCTGCAATTGAATTGTCCCTATCTACCTTCTAAAGTAATACTAATACTAAAATTGCTCTAGCTCTCAATCGCGAGGAGGGTATGATTTGAAGCTAAGTGACTATATGGATATGACACTTCGCATCGACGATGATATCTGCACCACGCTCCTTGGATGGCAGTCGCAAGCAATAATGCAGTGTCATGATGCATAGAATATTAGAGCTAAGGGTTGGCTTTATATCAGCTGTTCGCTGCATCTTGAAGCTGAAGCCTCTGGCCTTGGCAACAATTGGATTGCCCTGTGGATCCTTTGTTTGGATTAATTCAGCAACATCAAAGAGATCAGCAGCACGTCCTTATGGCAATGAAGATCTGCCACATGTCGCCAAAGGCAACAAGTTGCTTGGATAGAAAGATGATCAAGTGAACTGGTGAACCATGGGCTTCATGTGAATTATGATCCCTGCTGTTATCTGAGGATTGCAGCACGGGTGTGCTTGTTGCTTCTTTTGCTCACGGCACGACGAGTTCTCTTCATGCTTGAACAACCGTTTTCTTCCAAGCTGGAGTTGCTGCCGTTTGTGCGTGATGTGTTCGACATGATCAGCGAGGTTATCCCTGTACACAGGGTGTTCTTGCCGAGCCCTCTGACAATGTTGTGTGATGCATGCTCACCCATGTACTTCATCACTCCTTGTACCATGATCAGTGCACTCTAAGTTGGATGGGCAACTATGGACACTTCAGCTGCAAGGGCTCCCTAGCCTACAGCAACCTGTCAATGCCTCATGTGAGTCCTGACCAGTCTAGCAAGCACACAATTGCATCATCATCCTCAACTTCCAAAATTCCCGACCAAGGCCCTTTATTGGACGTTTGGGCAAGAAGCTGTCCAATGCACGTCGAGAAAGGCTCCGTCTTTCCTCACATGGGGTGGTTCATCGAAGGGTCAGGCATGGCAGAGTAGCTGTGATGCTTGGCTTGGAATTCTAATATAAATGTATATGTCTAGTGTAGAGAACTGGGCCCTGACCCCAACTGCAACTCCTGTGCTGGCCCAGGACTGGTGACAGGCTATTGAAGAAAACGCAGGAGTACCCGCGCAAGTTCTGCAAGAAAATCTTGCGGTTGCATTTAAAATCCGTGGATTCTTGCTGTCTCCATATGGGAAGCCATCTTAGTTGAAATCTATTCTTTTTATAACGAACCCGTAATAATTCAATCCCAGGAGCTTGTAAACCCCAACCCAGTCGCGAAATCTGTGTATGTGCCAAGGAGCGGCATGGGAAGAAACTTCAGAAGAAAATGGACTCTGGCCCACGGCTTCTCTTGGGGAGGAGCCAGGCTGGGGAGTAGGATGTCATTAATAATCTAATTATACTTATATATTTATTAGGGTTATAATTATAGAGTAATATAAGGGATTCGAACTGGACTTCAGGTCAGGTTGGGGGTGATGGGGAAAGCCCAGGCTGTAGCTAGTTTTATAATAACTGACGATATTATATAATTGATATATGCCCTGGGTTTCAAACAGCGGGCTTGGGTTTCCTCATATTCGCTACAGCTATACATGCCAGGCTCTAGCTAGTTGATGAACTTGAGGGCTTCTCTTGGGGAGGAGCCAGGCTGGGGAGTAGGATGTCATTAATAATCTAATTCTACTTATAGTTAGGGTTATAATTATATAGATTATAATATAAGGGATTCGAACTGGACTTCAGGTCAGGTTGGGGGTGATGGGGAAAGCCCAGGCTGTAGCTAGTTTTATAATAACTGACGATATTATATAATTGATATATGCCCTGGGTTTCAAACAGCGGGCTTGGGTTTCCTCATATTCGCTACAGCTATACATGCCAGGCTCTAGCTAGTTGATGAACTTGAATATAAATATATTATAATATATTTATACTCAAGTTCATCAACTAGCTAGAGCCTGGCATGTATAGCTTATATATGGGATTGGAAATTATAATGTGTTCTTTGTTATAGGTCTTAGGGTTTCAGCTTGGCTTGGAGTATCGATACCTGGAGCTGGCATGGGCTTTCATTCAGAAAAAAGGTGGTTATTATTACACACGCCCGCCTTCTAATTATATTGATATAGGGAACCTAGGGTCTGGGGTTGGCTTCGAGTATCAGTTATTTCTAGATTTATTATCATAGATATATATCTAGATATACCCTAGGGGTAGGGTTTAGGGGTTGAATTCCAGTACGTGTCGATACCTAGAATTGGGTAGGCACAGTCTGGGTTTATATGGACTTTGGGGGCAAGCGGCTATTATATACCCTGGATAAGGATCAATACTAATCTGTGCAGGTGGCAGCGGCACCAGCCTGGGCTTCTGCAGATATGGATGAGATTCTGCAATTCCTCGGAGCAGAGCAGCTTCTGGGTCGATATCACCCGGTGGCTGAGGGCTTGTAGCTAGAGCCGTGTACAAGAGTGCAGGGTTCCGGCACTCATTATTGCAAATTGGAGGGGGCCTGGGTTACATATTTGGTTCCAATTTGGAGGGCCTGCACTCTTGAAATACACTGATGGGCTCCGTGTGCAGCTCCGTCCGTGGCTTCGGGGGCCTGGTTCCTAAACCCGCAATATGCTGTTGACTGCTAGGAACGATACTATTTTCATATAAATAGCAGAGTTTGGGCCAGGACCCGGGGAGCGTGACTTTAGCGTGACTCTAGCGTGACTCTAGCGTGATTCTTCCGTGACTGTGCTTAAGAGCAGTATTACAGGGAGCGTGACTCTAGCGTGACTCTAGCGTGACTCTAGCGTGACTCCAGTGTGACTCTTCAGTGTGTGAGCCTCATACATTCCCTGCTGCAGCATTTTCTTATCTAGCGAGTGAAGTTCTGGCTGGTTCCAAGATCACCAGGTTCTCAGCAGATGCCGCAGACACTCGACCCAACTACGTCATATATAATGTGTACATGTGCCCCTGCCTAGTGTCCCTTTGTAGATCCCCTTTGTGTTAACATGCCCAAGCCGGCTCTCAGTGTTGAACAAGCGCTGGCTGCTGTTGAAGAGTTAAGAAAGAGAGCTCTGAAAGGACAGCCCGACAAGTAATTCTGATTGTCTAACATGTACCAAGTTGAAGATTCGGAGCTTTGCATTGATGCTGTATTCTATTCTGTGATTTTGCCAGGAACTTCCTATGAGGAGGCAAATGCAAAGAAAGATGATGAACAAGCAAAAGAAGCCGAAGCAAACAGTGCAGTGAAGCAGGAGGTTAAAACACCAGCACGTGCAAAAGAGGATCCTGGAGTCTGCCCAGTGGCAGGCGACCAGGAGGCAAGGACACCGAACTCCAAGACAGCAGCAGCACGAGGTCGCAGCGAGGAGCCCCGCACCCCTAATAAGAGTGCAGGCAAGCTGGGCAGCAACAAAAAGGTCCGCTCAGCAAAGCGCCGAAGGGTGCGAGGCAAGACCCCGGATGAAAGCGCAGAGACAGCGAAGAGCAAAACTCCAGAAAAGCTTGCAGAAGCCGCCCCGCCAGAGCCGAGCAAGACACCCAAGAGCAAAACGCCGAGTCCAGAAAAGCCTGCAGAAGCCGCCGTGCCAGAGCCCAGCAAGACACCCAAGAGCAAGACGCCGAGTCCAGAAAAGCCTGCAGAAGCCGCCAGTGCAGAGCCAGCAAGCAAAACCCCGAAGAGCAAAACACCGACTCCACAAAAGGCCGCAGAAGCAGACCCCGCAGAGCCAAGCAAGACACCGAAGAGCAAGCTAAGGACAGCTACGCCAGAAAAGCAAGCAGAAGCCGCCAGTGCAGAGCGAACCAAGACACCCAAGAGCAAAACACCGACTCCACAAAAGGATGCAGGACCCGAGCCCGCAGACCGAAGCAAGACTCCCAAGAGACGCAAGAGCAAAGCATCGACTACACCGAAGAGCAAAACCCCGAGTCCAGAAAAGCCTGCAGAAGCCGCCAGTGCAGAGCCAAGCAAGACACCCAAGAGCAAAACACCGAGTCCAGCAAAGGCCGAAGATGGGACCAGCCAGACACCGCGATCCACGAGCAAAGCATCCAGGGCCAGTCCGAAGAGCCAGTGCAGTGGAAAGCGCCGCCACAGTAGCCCAACAAAGGGGATGTCACCTGCTTCCTCGACCTCTGCTTGGAAGGCCTGTTATCTTAGATTATTCTCGTTTGATTTCTCCTAGATCGATATATCAACCCGAATGCCCTGGAACCCTACGTATATACGACACACCCCTGCACCTAAAGCCCCAAGCCCTCATCCCGGAACCTAAAACCAACAATCATATACATTATATTATAATGATATTAGAATAAACCCCGAACCCCGCAGGATATATAATAATCCTTTTTTTTTAAGCCTGCAGCCCGCTAGTTGTCTTTTATCATCCCTCCTGAACCAAACCCATTAACCCCAGATGCCTGGCCAGGATGAGGATGAAGGAAGCATGCCGAAGTTCAGGAGGTCGTCCACTGTGCCTTGGATTTAGTATTCTAAGGGCTACTTAAGATTAACCATGGCCGTTGTTCACAGAGGGTGGATTCGGGTACGTACTATATACTATATATAACTACCAACTACTACTACTACTACTACTACTATACTACTACTACTACTACTACTACTACTACGACTACGACTACTACGTTAAGCCGAAAATCCTAAATCCTAAAACCAAAACCCCAAACTCTAAACCTTGCAACCAAAATCCCAAACTCTTAACCCAAAACCCAAAACCCCAAACTCTAGACCTTAAGCCCAAAGCCCTAAAACCAAACCCTGAAACCCTAAACCCAAAACCCCAGTGGACTCTCCGCCACCTCCCCCGCTACGTCGAAGTGGACGGGTCTTTCAGAGCCAGAGCGCATCTCTCGAAGCTTCAGCCTCGGCTTAGGGGAATTATAAAGGGCCTTTTCGGGTTTTAGGGTTATTTGAGGGATTCTTTAAGGGCTCCTGTAGGAGATCTATAGGGGGTTTAGGGTGCAGGGTTTTGGGTTAGGGCCTTTTAGGGTTTTAGGGGTTTAGGGGTTCGGGTTCCACCTTTATCGCAGCAAGGGCCTTCACAAGCACGATAGGAACTCCCAACATAAACCTCGGATATGCTAGAACCCTCAGCCTTTCGAATTCCCTCCAACCCTAAAAACCTATACCCCCAAACTCGAAGCGCTGAACCCTGAACTCTATACGCTACTACTATATAATATAATTATAATTACTATGACGACGACAACTGCTATGGCGACTTCATTCTTCATAGAATGAAGTCGCCATAGCAGTTGCCGTCGTCATAGTTATATTATTATAGCGGGTTATAAAAAAGGCTCCAAGCCGTGAAGGCGGTAACCCCAAAAGCTCCAAAAGCCCCAAGCAACGAAAGTTACATGATGTCAAGACCCTGTATACAAGCCCCCCCCCCCTCCCTTGCAGCCCTACGTAATAAGGCCCAATTGCAAGTGTCCGAAAGCCAGTCATAAAAAACATGACAGATCCCCCAATACTCGAAGTGCCAGAGACTCTATCCCAATAAATATACGGTAGCGTAAAGCTAGTCTATGGTAAATGATATAATAATAAATAATTTATCGAACCAAGTCCCATGAGGTGGCATCAGACCAGAGCTGGTACTCGTCTTCCTGGTCGGATGCATCCTGGGCCAGGCCATGGGATCAGGGTTGGAGTGAATGGGGTGGCCAGTGGTCCTACCCCTCATGGAATGGTACGTGGTCGGGCAATGATTGGTACGAGTGGAAGGAGGAAGATGGTGAGAAGGCTCCTGAGAACAAGGCAGGCAAGAGTGATGAGAAGGATCATGAGAAGAAGGCAAGCAAGAGTGATGAGAAGGCTCATGAGAAGGAGGCAAGCAAGAGTGAAAAGGCTGCAGGTGATCATGGTGACACAGCGAGTCGGGTGGATGCCATCCTACGCCGAGGACATACAGTGGATCAGTTGACAACTGAGGAGCTTCACCTGATCGTTGGCCACATCGACAAGCAAAAGAAGGCGGAAGGATCTGAAGATAAGAAGGAGGAGGTGGAGAATGATTCAGAGAAGCCCGAAGAAAGCAAGCCGGCAGCCGGTGAAACAAAGGAGGAACGAAGAAAGCGGCTCCATGCACGCAACATGCGGTATTACAGAAGCCTGGAGAGCTGCTCATCTTGCTACTTATAGCACTAACAAGTTTTTTTCTTGAAGTTCCAGGGCTTGTATGTTCTGATCGCCCAGGTATCAATTGCCCACCTGAGATTGCTCGTCTGGCACGAAAGGCAGTGGACGAGCCAGGGCAAAGAAGCTACATGTTCGAGTCTTGGTTGGCCTCAAACGAGGATTGGAAAAAAAGCTCTTTGCTGGTGACCCTTCGGCGCAAGGGCTCCAGTGCACGCAAAGGGCTGCGGAAGTGGATGCTGTATACCGAGATGATCACAAAGTGGGGGGCTGAAATCGCCCTGGCAATGAAGGAATCAAAGGAGAGTGACGAACACAGGAGGAAGAATGAAATTCGAGACCACCCCGATGCTTCACATCTCAAACAATATCTATGCTTATGGGAGGCCTCTGAGGAGGATTTGGACGAGGAAGCCTTTGAAACCGTCTTCTCGGTGGGAGTCGAGGACACAGACAGCTCGTCGTCGAACGAGACAACGAAAAAGAAGAAGAAGAAAAAGACGAAGAAAGCAAAGAAGGCCAAGAAGAGCAAGAAAGCCTCGAGCCCCAGCCCCAAAAAGAGAAGCCCGAAGAAACCCAAGGGAAAAGGCAAGGGAAAGGGTGCCAACAAGAGTGCCAAGGTGGGGAGTTGCTTGTGGCTGGGATTATATTATTTTTTACCTATTTCCTAGTTCATTACAAGCTATTATAATAGCTTGTAATGAACTAGGAAATAGGTAAAATCTTAGTCTAGGTGGTATATGGGTTCTTACTCTTTATAATCTGCTTTAAGACATAGCCTTCTGGGTCCCCTTATCTATATAATTATGATGTTCTGTTTTCATGCCAACATAGATATAACCCAGTATGCTTGAAATCGCAATCCACTTTACCCCCATCCCGACACAGGCTTTGACTGCCGAGGAGCAGGAAGTCCAGGAGACCAGAAGCAATGCCAACAAGGTGCGAGTTAATTGCAGGATTTGCTACGTGGTAATCTATGTGCCTTTTAACCTTTGCACTGTACTGTGGCACAGGCCCTGAAGAAAGCCAATGAGAGAATCAAAGCAGCTACAAAAGTGAAGGACACGAATGCGATCGATGGTGTGTGCCTGTGCTGAATAGTCCCGAATGAAGGCATGTGTCTATCCCACTCTCCACTCTGTCAGGGGACCTCATCTTCTGAAAGCGATGAAGGACGATGTGGAAGCCCAGGCCCATGGATAATCAAAAATTAAACCCCAGACCTCATGACCTTGCTGCAGCAATGTCTCAGGCCAATCTGGTGGGTGAAGCCCGCGCAGAGCTGCAGGCTGCAGTGGACCGAGATGAGGCCCAGTTGGGATTTTGATACATACCTTGGATGTCACTGCCACTTGTATTTGTGATCTATAGGCTGGAGCTTGGGATTTCGGCTTTTTCAATGGCCCTGGGATTAATCATAATTTATAATTATAACTGTTCTTTACGGGATCTTGCCGGGATAGTGCAAACAACTTTCAGTATTGGTCGTGTGTGGCCATGGGGACTTCAAGGGTATGGAGAAATGCAGGGGTAGGGTTTCAGGCTTTCTAGCCCAGACTACATTGCTATATCTTGATATTCACATGTATATTATGTATATATATATGTACATATATATTATATATATATATACATATGGGTTTCTTATATTCTTAGCCTCTGCTGCTGTTATATAAGCTTATATAGATAGAGGCTTCACTGCTGTATTATACACATATATATATATATATATATAATATGGATTTATGTGTTGGATCTTCTCGGGATCAGGGTTCAGGCCTTTATAGGGTACCACCCATATATTATTATTGTGTCCTTTGAAACAACACGACCCTCTGCTAACGTCATTATACCCATCCTGCCATATACCCGACTCGAAATCCCTAACCCTTTTTCTTTTGTCCCTTGCAATTGCCAGGCTGGCTTGATGGCGGATGCCACTAGCAAACTGAATGCTGCTGTGGCGAAGTATGATACCATCCAGAAGGATCTAGATTCTCGCGCCAAAGGCACCAAAGGTGGTAAAGAGCGCAAATCCAAGTAAGAGGCTCGCTCGTACCATCGCTAGATATGTTTTATAATAATACCTACTCTGTACTGCTGTGTGCATACTTTCCAAGTCGACTTGGATATCCTAGCAACATAGACCTGCAGGCCTTTGATCTGCACGCATCTTGTTGCCTCACTTGGGTGCTGACTTTTGCAAAGATGGGCCAGGGACAACCTTGGCCTACATATGTGCTTTTGCATGCACATGTGCCTGCAACAAACCTGGCTCTAGCACCTGATTCCATTCTCTAATAATGGTAGCCGAAGCCGCAAACGCACTCCTGGGTCCCCAAAACCCTAGCCTAATAAATGTAATCCGCTACAACCTATAAAAACCCTTATAAGCCCTAAAACCCTTATAAACCCCAAAACCCTACCGTAGGCTGATCATCAGAGTTCCAGTGGCTCTGCTAGCGCTTACCCTATATACGCTTATAATCCTAATAAATATAAACCTCTTAATTACTCGATCTGAAGCCCCCCCAAAAATAATCGAACTTTCGAGATGCAATTCCAACAGCCCGAATTTCCAAGACCCTATATGTAACGGTTATGGGGTTATTAGGGTTTATAGGTATTATAAGCCAAAGTCGCAAACCCCAAAAGCGCTAACAATTCCTATTCTTTATTATAATTATATATATATATATTATATATATATAATATTTATATATAATTCTAATAAAGAATAGGAATTGTTAGCACTTTTGGGGTTTGCGACTTTGGGCTTTGGGTTATAGAATATATCCCTTAATTTATAAACCCTTTAAATGCCAGGGCCCAGCCGTTTTGAGCATCATCTGGAGTCGAAGCCAGGGGCAGGGGGCGGCTGCAAATGCTGCACTTGTCGAGGTGGAAGCACACACGCCTTGGATGGAAAGAATTCCCATATACAGTGTATATACCTACACATAATGCATGCAAAGGCTGATTGGTGTGTGTGGGGGTGAGAGGCATTTTGCAGCCTAGCAGTGCAGTTGCTCCGTAGGCCCTGTTGGGTGCGCATGTGCATAGCATGGGGATCGTTCGCCCATGTTGAGAAAAAAACTCTGGCCTGCAAGCTAGTTCTGCAATCCCCATAGCGTGATAGGATAGCCTAGCCCGACCTGTCATGCCAGGGTCAGACGATGAGGATGATGGTGACGCTGCCAATGGGCTACTGCAGAACATCCTGGAACGGGTCTCCAACGGTGACACTTGTCAAAATTATAGTTGTTCAACTTCCATATATCAAGCCGACAAGCCCTCACCCTAAACCCTGAAAGGTAAATCCCGAAATCCTGTAGCCAAAGTGCTGCTTTATCACCACCAGCATCATTCGAGCCATCATCCGGGTCCTCAGGCGGAGACTGTGGGCTCTGCTATGAACAATGCCCGGGCGAGCTACGAGGAGAGGTTTACAATGTGTGCAAAATGGGCTAGCCAACTAGGATGAGATAATTAATCGAATTCTTATACAGACTTATAAGTGCTTATAATTATAAGCTATATATAGAGTTGTGGGTGTACATTGCAGGAATCTGGCCGGAGCTTCAAGGGCAAGGTTATGTCGAAACTCATGACATATCGGCCTGGCAATGATTCGCGGGATTTCTTCAAGAATGTCAATGTGCCTCTGGAATCCGGGACAGGATATCATTTTAGTGAGTTGCATATTTTATGATTATTATATTACTACAAGTGAGAGCTACCCCACAACCAGACAACGTTTAGAATCCTCCAATTCAAGATGTATCCCAGAGCCCAAGGAACCAACAGAAGTGCCAACGACGATCTACGAGGGCTTTGAGGGAGATCGCAAAGTGGTTCATACAACAGTTCCCGTGCTGGATCCACACGAGCTTTTGGACTTCCTATATACAGAGCTCAAACTGGAGTGCCCTATGTCTAAAGTTCGCGGGTTTTGGCAACACATGATTGCCAATAACTTCCCCTTCGCGCTTCACCATCCTCACAGAGCTGCTTTGGAGACGATGCAACCATTCAGCATTTATGGGGATGAGCTGACATTGGGGAAGGATCCCAAGGACAAGGTCACGGGGATATTCTTGCAACTGACTCTGTTTAAGCCGAAAGCTGCTAGACAGGGCATCTGGTTGCTATGTGCACTGCAGGATGCATGCTGTATCCACGACAATCTTGCGACTCTGACTCCTGTGTTAGAGCACATTGTCTGGAGCTGCAATCAGGCGTGCACTGGTTCATATCCAACCGTGTCGAGAACTGGCTCTGCTTTGACTGGACTGAAAGCAAAGAAGGCGGGCCAAAAGTTTTCGGGTGATACCCGGTGGGTGTGTGCCGAGCTAAAGGGTGACTGGAAGTGGCATGAGCGCACTTTGCGACTGCTGCGGACCCCGGTGTCCAAGAAGTGCTGCTTTCTGTGTAATGCCGAAGCATCCGATGCCCCACTTCGCTATTATGATGATGGTGATGGAGCAGCATGGAGGCATACACTGTTTGACACTGCAGACTTTCTTCGGCGGGCTATTCGGCCTGGACAAGTCAGAATCTTGGCTTTGATTTAGAAAACAGCCTGCTTTCGTCAATTCAAATCACAGCCCAAACCACACCAGTCTTGAAGGCCCTCTGACTCTGCTGACGGGCTTCGATGTATCCATGATCAAGTTTTGCAGCATGCATGTCTGCAACCTGGGATTGGTGCACACAGCAAGTGGCGGTGCATTGTGCCCAATTTGCATTCTACAAGTCTTCTGATTTTTTGTCGATTCACTGCACACTGCAGGGTTGCGATTATAATTCACAGTCATGATTCGATCAGACAAATCTAAGGGAAGCTTTGCTACGGGAGGGCCACTTCGGGCCTTACAATGACCCTGACGATCTGAAGGCATTGCTGGAAACAGCCTATGGCGAGTTTCAGGTTTGGCGCCGGGCCAACAAAATTGCTTGCTCCCAGCGATCTTTCGCGCCACGGCATTTGAAGAAGCGGGTGCATGGCTACTACCTGACGACCAAAGCTTATAATGCCCGCATCGTGATGTTGTGGCTGGCAAGCAAATTGCAAGACGTTGCCCGGCAAGCAGCTGTGAGCCAGAGCATTCGTGTGCATGCCACGGCACTGCAGCTCTGCTGATTTACCCAAACCCTCAAAAGGAATGTGGTTCGTGTTTAATTTCAATAGCTGAGCAATTCCCAAACCCTCAAAAGGAGTGAGGTTCTTGCTATGGATATAGTCTTATGAATCTAATTTTCAATAGTTGATATACGGTTTGGACACCACAAATAATTTAATCCGGGCAGCTGATCACGAGGACTGCCTTCTCCAACTGGTTCAGCGGCAATGAGAAGGCGAAGCGCTTCTTGCAGCTTCCATGGCACTGAGCAATATAATTCAGTTTGTTTTACAATCGTGCCGAAAGAGATATAATTATATTGCATAAATAAAAGAATTATAGCTATAGTTCTTATGCAATATAATTATATCTCTTTCGGCACAGTCCCTGACCTAGCTATAGACATGTGCTCATGAGGACCCCGGCCCAAAGCCAAGAAATTTATGCCAATGGAAAGCTCTTTCTCAGATGCCATCTGCAATTGACACGAATGTCGCATCGGCTCCTTCGCTGTTATTATTCTATATATTTGTTCTGTATAGGGAGTGTGAATTAGCTACTGACGACAATCTACAATTTCACTATATACATATATATATATATATATATATTAATATACAGTGAAATTGTAGATTATGTATAGTGAGTAATAGTGAAATTGTAGATTATCGTCAGTAGCTAATTCACACTCGCACGTACCCCGAAACAATCGGCTCAGGCTGCAAATCTTCTCTTGGATCTTGAAACCGAAGTTTCATGCAACTTGGCTTTATGAATAGTTGGGTGGCTGTACTACGATGCTGCTGCTATTGGGCTCTCATGCTCAGGCCATGCTCCATCTCCTGGAGCAAAGCAAATCATGGCGATTCCTAGCTGAAAGTCTTGAACACATTGTGGCTTTCTATTTGGGACTCGTACGGATATAGAACCGGAGATCCCATGCATATTTCTTTCGACCCCTGATCAGGTTACAACACACGTTATACACATTGCTTTGCTGGTGAAGATGCAATGGGCTGGCTCAAACGAATCTTGGGATTAATTTCATTCTCACTTGTACGTATTGCGTGAAAAGCAGGACTCCAGGGGGGATTTCGATTCCTTTTAATTTCATGCTCATGAGCATCAGATATCTGAGGGGTCAGTCTGCGTGCTCCTCGCAAGCCTGGTGCATTCAATCGCTGGGTTATGCGAATGGGAATCTTGAAGATTGTGGCGTCAAAGCGTCGTTTGACCAGGATGCTCGGCCACCAGTATGATCCTGCCTAATTCGATTCTGTCATGCTAAGCCGTATGATTAAGCCGGGATCTGCCAAGCCCTGAAACCCCAGCCCCAGCCCTGAAACCCCAGCCCCAGAATTGCATGTCCCAGACCAGCCCAGGCGCGAGCGCGATCGAGGATGGAATCGCTAAGCCGTGTGATCCAGCCGCACATTGGCAAAATAGGAATAATTCCTGTAATCCCTCGTAACATTTATTTCTATTCTTTGTAATTCCCAACCCCAGGCAAAAGAAAATCTGGACAACGATGGATCCGGAGTGATGAGCTGCCTGCTCTGGAGGACTGGCGATTCAATGGATGCATATATATGAATCCCGGCTTAGTTCCAAGTATGTTTCTAATTTGGGCTATTAAGCTGCAACTCCTAAATTGTATGTGTTTATAATAACACATATATCCCGAAGTACATCATGTGATCGATGTTTGTTTTAATTTTCATTCGAAGCGGTGCAGCTCTATCGAGACGCCTCATGTCATGGCCTCTGCCGATGCAAACTTTGGCAGAAGCTTCTTTTACATAGAGTCTTTAAGGCTCTTCGGTGTAGGTTGTTGCAATCATACATATTCCTAAAAAATTAATATAAAGGTTTCCTTGTAAGGGTTTCGAGCTTGGCCTTCCAAGACATTTTTCGAGCTCTTTGTAAAGGCTTTGGGGTGTAGGACTTTTTGTTATTACAAGGGTTTTTTTTTTGCGACTTTATGGCCTAGGGCTGCTACAGTTCTTTATAATAGGTTTCGGTGGTTATAACGCAGGGCTCGTTCCAGGGTTTCGGTTTCAGAAATTTTGGGAAATTATTCACTACATCCCGGATTCCAAATCCAGCCCAGGCTGTCGCTATGCTGCTGAGATTGGAATCTCACGATGGGTGTCCTGGCTGGATAATCTGTGTACTTGCGAACCCTCTCACAAAATCCAACATATATATATATATATATGATATGATGTATGAACTAGCTTAGGTGCTGTTGGCGCCGGGTGCTCCATGACTCTCGCAGTCGCGAGCATGAAAAATGAGGGATCCCAGCGTGCACCTATGTGGCCCCGATGCTGTTTCCTACCTTCTGAAAGCCACCCTAAGCCGAGAATTTCACCAAAAAAAAACTCCCCGGTGTCTTTCTTGTACTTGCAACCAGCCCCACTTGCAACCCTAGCAATTAGAAATCAGCAGCCCCAGTGCTGTTTCCACACCTTCCTCGAACCACCAATAGCAAGAAATCTAATGAAATTTAGGAAATAATTAGTTGGCCCAGTGCCGATCCTGTACTGCCTTCGAGCTTTATAATACTCTATCTCAACGAGTCTCAATGCAAAAATAGGCGAGCCCATTGCTGTTTCTTAAGGTTCCTTGACCCCTTTCTGAAGGATTTATTGGTGCTTCTTCAGGTTCCTTGACCCCTTTTTCAAGGATTCATAAGTGAAATCACTGCTGTTTCTGTTGCTTTTCGGAGCCCCCGCTGAAGCACCCTAAAAATAGGCTTTGACGCAACGTGCGTGCTTTTCGAGCAGGTTAGTAACCTGCTCAAAAGGCAAGCAGGAAAGACGAGTAGGGTAATATTAAAGGCTTTAATGTCTAAGTACCTCGACTGGGAGTAGAACTCATCATTAGTTTTGTTGCCTTGTTTCTAACCCTTGCTACTAAGTCCCATGAACCTTTTAAGGTTCTTTTTAGTGACCATAGATCTGAATTCCTGAACCGGTTTAGGGTTTTGGGATCGTGGCAATTATAGAAACCTTAAACCCCACACCCTAAATCCTTTATTCCGTTTAGGGGCTTAGAGTTTTAGGGCTACAGTAGAAGCCAAAAAGTTGGAAACCCCTTAACTTCAATCCTGAAAAGCAATGCAAAGGGAATCCCAGCACTATTTGGCCTTAATCCGGTTTCCAACTTTATGGGGTTTGCTGTAGGTGGGGGGGCCTTCTGCTCGTAGTAACATCCCCTCGTTGGCGGTTTAGGGTTTAGGGCTTATACTCGCAGGATTATGGGACCTTGATAGTACCTGTAGGCTGATACCCCACCCCTTTCTTAGGGCGCCTACTTTTTTAAGACAACAGATCCTAACCAAACTAGGTATCCGAAAAAGGGGTAGGGTATGAGCCTCTAGGTAGGGCAAGCAAGGTAACCATACTCTATTGTTGATCACTTTGCCTATAGCGCCAATTAGAGTAGTTTTAGCCTTACCTTCCAAGCAATGCAACGATATGCTACTGCTGCTTGCCCGAAAACCACTTTTCTGTCCATTTAGGCCCTTATATTGTTCTTGATTGAGTTCAGTGAGCAGTTGTTTCATCCTCGTCCGGGAAGAGCCGTCTCAGCAGAGCACGAGAAGATTGGGGCTTCTCAGAAAGTAAGGAAAGAAGGGTTTTTGCACAGCTTTTCGGCTGTAGGGCTTCAAATTCCAGTGCGGATACTGCATAAGAGTTTCAACCCTAAAGTCCGATAGTATATCCAGTTTACAACTATGCCGATGGGCCAAACCGTATACCCTAAACTAATGCGCTTTGCATTCCCTGCAGCCTGATCTCCGCATTCCGTGACAATTCCTCTGGGGGCTTGTGGGTCCACGACAGCGTTGCTCTTACTTGTTTCTTTGGGCTTAGCTTTACTGTTCGGGTTCCGGGTTTGGGGTTTCATAGGGTATCTTTTTGTCTTTGGGTTCTTTACAGCCTGGAGCTATCCTCGTCAAGTTAGATTGCCCGGGTCCTGAAGATATCTTAGGCAGTAGGCCCATGGCCTTGTGTTGAAGCTCAAACGTTCAGGGAGCAGGGTTTAGGGTTTGAGGTGTATACATGGCATTCCTAGAGCTGAAATGTCTACCATTTTGGGGTTCTAGGTTCATTATTGTAATTCTGTAAACAATTCACATGTATATAGGTTTTCTAGCGTTTAAAAGCAAAGCTAAGCGTGCCCGCCAATCAATTTCTATACAAAGAGTACTGTGCGTATTTTAGCATTGTGTTGAGCGAATGTTAGCTATAAGAAAGACATGGCTCCTTGCAGACTATTGGTGCTTGTATACTGTGTGTTAATTATTCTGGTTTGGATATACCAGCAATACAACCCGCCATGTATGCACACCTCGCACCTGAAGCACATGAGCTGTTTCATGGTTAGCGCGTCAAGATGTGTACTCAGTTTGCGTCGGAACATACTGCTTCGCGAAATAATATCATCGAGGGGTCAAATGGTGTCAGATCAAGCGATGCTTTGCACCCGTTGCGTTATAGGGTTGGGAGTCGTATGCAAGCCTCCACTTGCGCGCCTTTGAAGTTTTCAGGTGGTCTCGGAGAAGATTCGAAGGTTCGGCACCGTTGTCCACACAAGCAATTCTGACAGACCACTCCTAACCTCACTTGGTTTTTAGTAATATGACTTATGATAAACCGAGCGACCTTGCAGTGACTCTACGAAAGAAAGGTTATGCTTTGGTAGTCAATAGGCTGCCTAAACTCTAAAAATCATGCTCTGCGAAGCCCTGACTTCTCAGCACCTGGGCTCACATTGCCGTGATCGATGAGCACTGGTATGTTATTGACTGCAAAGGCCATCAAAGCGGATTGCAGACTTGCACTTGCGCAGTGCCGCTGAATGAACCATTGAACGTGGGCTATCGAGGAAATAAGGTTGATGATATACATCCTCCATTACCCATAATGAGGAATATACCATATGGTCCTTAAGGTAATGCAGGATTTATGTCATCAACCGTAGGGCAGTTCCTTAATTACCACGGCGCTTGACATGGTTCGATGCTGTTGTATCACTGTCGTGCATGAACCTGAATCCAGGCCCCAAAACCCACCCAAAGCCCTTATCAAATAAATCGAACACTGAACCCTGAACCTAAACTCTAACCCCTAGTTTGCCTTAACCTTTATGACTCATCGGCGCTATTCCCTTAACCCTATAAGCCCTCATACGTCAAACTTTCATGGCTCATCGGCTCGGCAATATTGCCACTTATCTCCTCAACGGGCGGGAGTGGCTGACTCCACGGCAGTGCCAGAAAAAATCTGTTGCGAAGGGCGACTTGGGGTTGAGTCTATGGCCTATGGGTTTGGGGTATTGTATTGCTTTTTTACATGTATTTCTGACGTATGTACGTGTATATATATATATATATATATATGATATGCAGTCTATGTTTGTATATGTATATATATATATATACACTTATGATCGATCGGACGATTGGTCAGTCGGTTGGTAGATAGATAGATGGGTAGCTAGAGTAAATAGGGTTTAGGGTTTCGGGTTTAGGGTTTAGAGACATGTATGCCTGGTCTTATCTAAGCCCCGACCCGAACATCCCGCACCCTATCCCTATCCCTCCAAGGACCTCATTGTTAGGGCCCTAGACCCCTTAAGGACCCCATAATCAGGTCCCTGGAGGCATAGGGTATAGCCAACAAAAGCCGGAACATGACTTGGAGCTATTCAGTTCAGGCTTCCCTTTTTAGTGTTTAGGGTTTAGGGGGCTGTGTAGGTTTTTCTTCTGAATTTCAGGGGTGTTCATGCTTGGGCCGCCCCCTTTTGTTTCGACACTCTCAAGAAAAGCCGGAAACCTACACTTTCAGCGTTATTGGCAGCTATATACAAGTATACATAACATGAAACATGAAAGCTCTGTATAAGGCGATTCGTACAGGTACGCTGATTAGATTGGTGGATAGTGTTTGCTCAAGCTTTGACTATCTTACTTATGGCCGCCGTTTCAACAATCAATCAAGGATGTCGGTTCGCTGGCTTCGCATGGATTTCTGGTTTGAGGTCAATGACTTACGGCTTTGGGCCTCAGAAAGTACACGGAAGACACAATGTTTCTGACTTGCGGCAATGCCTGTCTCGCGCTATTTGGAGCCCGGGCATCAGAGCTAATAGTATCTTCCATAGGCCTGTGCCGACAAATAGACCTGAGTACGTAGGCCCTGCACCCAAGCCTGAAACCTAAAGTCGACGAGCTCTTTATGGGGATGCCTTGAAGTAGG